ATAATCTAATATGATTTAGAGTGCATACCAATTTCTTCTATTGGATATCTAGACCAATATGACTTCTTTTTTGGCTATTACATCGTTTTATTAAAGAGTTAAAACTATATTCATGTTTATTCATAGGATCATGATTGATGCACACCCGGATCCAACATTCGGGTGTGCACCCCTCCACATAAAATAAAAGAAGAAGAGAACACCCAGTTGGGTTTTTTTTTTTTTATGTGGATGTGTGCACACCCGGGGTGTGCACACATCATTTTCCTTATTCATATCATCTTTTTTTTTTTTTAACATAAATATCTAGATCTTTACTCCAACTAATTTGATCGTAGGTACCTATAATCTACCTGTCAACATATATTGAATAAACCTTTATCTTAAAAAATGACAGGCTTAAGTTATTCAAAAATTGTTTGCAACCAAATAACTATGAAGGTATTCAAACCTCTCATTACTCCTTACCAGTAGGGTCAACCAAAAACCAAAAACTAATTACACGGCATTTTATTACCTAACACTCAACTGCATCAATTAATTTACTTCATTGAAAATGAAATATCGAGATCAAATGCATGAACTTACAACACCATTTCCAGAATCATAAGGCAGTGGGTGAGACAAAATTAAAACGATAGGAGGGGCCAATAATTCTTTGGATTCATTTATAATTTGTATGGTGTTGGTTAGCCATGCACACTGGCTATTTTGACGGTATGGGAGAGTCGGCGTCAAATTGTAAATCGATTTCAAAGGATTTAGATTTTGTTGTTGCCGACGTAGTAGGAAACACTATCCCACCCCCTCAGGCCTCAGCCTCATCTTTTTAGCCTTATTTTGTCTCATCCCAAATCAACTTCCACAGTGAAGCAGGCCCTTTGTGTATAACAGCTAGCTAGCTCAACCCCTCCTTAAGACTATTAGTATGTGCTAATATTTACTTAATCATCATTAATCACTGTTTTACCTAACAAATTAGAATCAATTAGTCTGAAAACAATATATCATCCTCTATGGTCTATTGCTCTATGCATTAATAAATTGTCATTAGACTTCACACGCATGCATTAATTGATTAATTGTGACTTAATCTCAACCAAAAATGAAACACTATTTACTTCTACTCTACTCCAACAGTGGAGTTAAATATCAGCGGTGATTCACTCATATCTTATCTCACTATGAAGTTCTAAAATAATCATATGATGTTAAATGAATAGATAAATACTAATTCAACAATTATTATCATATTCGCTTGTGAAATAAAATTGTGTGTGAATAATTTTCGGTATAGAAACACAAAGGTATCGGATCATGTTAACCCTATCATTAGAAAAGAAAGAAGATTAGTGAATATGAAGATCATTTCTGGTAACATGTAATCATATCATTGAAAAACAAAAGGACAAGGAAAAAAAAGGAAGATAAGGAAGTAAGTTTCTTCCAGATGGGCTTGATGGAGCTTGAAAACAGTAGAGCCTCAATAATGTTATCCTAGAAAATCAGAAAAGTTAACTGCACTTTTTTGCATCAATTCCATATGCACTAGTAGCAGTGAACTAAACATGTTTCTGCACTTTATGTCGACAAAGATTGATTAAATTCCCGGCAGCCCATAGAGTTGCATTTATTATTCAAAATCTTCTCTTTTCTTTATGTATTGCGCGTTATTGGATATTGTTGAAAAATCTAAAAGTTTAAATGCAATGTGCTAGAAGAAAATGAATTGAAATTTTGCTGTCATGGGCCATCATGTACTCATGACTCATAGTTACCTTTTTTTGGTGCTGTGCTCAGCGCCCAGTACTCCCTTATACAGTACAAGGTTTTTCGTTGTCTGAAGCATTTGAGGGCTGGTGTCGTAGCACACCTAACCGAAAAAAAAAAGAAAAAAGAAAAACAAAATTATGAAAATGTAATCGCTCAAGAAATTGAATTTGAGTATGAAAAGCCAACTCAATTGTTAAGGATGTCAAGATTTGTGTTGCATAATGTATAACTTCTGTTAGGAACAACATTTTATGCATGAAAGACTTTAAAGAACACATAAGTAATCTATTCATTCTCCAACTAAAACAGTAAATGAGTTGAGTTACTCATTAGCTATTCAACTCAACTTAGGCTTGAGTTTGAGCTTAAATCTCAAAAGTCAAGTCAAGTTGAACTTAAAACTCTGCTCAACTCAATTATATTAAAAAATAATTATATATATTAAAATTTTAATATTTTTATTTTAAATAAAATTTGAGTACTCTATGGAGCTTGCAAACCGAGTTTGAGTTTCCAAATCAAATTCAAGTCAAGTTTACAAATTGAGTTCAAGGACATTAGTATATTTGAATTCAATAAAAACTCGAACACAACTTGATTTGTTAATGTAGCATCATATTTAAGTTTAAGTTTAAGTTCAAAAGAACTCGACTCAACTCTTTTACAACCCTTACTATAACAATGATTATCGATTATTATGATTTAGAAAAATGCCCTCTCGCTGTGTTTGCTCTATGGCTACCATATGTACTATTAGAGAGAGAGAGAGAGAGAGAGAGAATTGGAAGATAGAGAGTGAAAAAGACATTACCTTTAGTCTTTTATTCATGTGAAAGCATCACCTTATGTGGGTCTCAAATCTATAGAATATATTCCTAAGAAGAAGGGCTAGTCTCAGCAGCTTATTTTAGACCAAAAAGCAACAGAACAAAATGAACTATTTGAAGCAGATAAAGTTGCATTGAACGAAACCTTCATACGTCGCTGTAACACATGGTATACACAAGGCAATTCAACAACAAAATCAATTGCAAAAGGCAGAAAACTTTTCCAGATTTATCCTAAAAACAAGCAAAATCATTGTCGTCTAAAAGCTTAATCAAATCTATCTCCTCATGTCTACCTACCCTACACCAAAAAAATAATACCCTTTTGTGTATCCATTAATATTATATAAATCTAACAACAATACAACTTACAGCAAAAAGCTCTCATTCTCTTCCACTCAATTTCTTCTCAAGGCTTTTGTTATCTTGCAATCAAGTTTTTCTAAAGCATAATGATTATCTGTAGATTGTCAATGTGCTTCCAGCTCCTTGTACTCTTCCTATCTTTTTGCACTGTGAACATGCGGCCATCATGAAACAGAGAGTTGAATTATTGGGGGTACAGTAGTGCTAGATGCACAACAATTTCCCTTATAAATTAAGATCAGAGTTATACTCGGTTTGGACAGCATTTATAACCAGGTAGTTTTTTTATCTATCATTATTGAGCAACACAATAGGAAGCAACATTTTGTCTTAGCGAAATACATACACTCTCCCTATGGATGCCAGATTTGATCCTTTAAATTCTTAGTCATATTAGACAACCTTATTGACTCAAATAACTTTGCATCTTAAATTCTCAATTACCTTTTTATCAGCGTAGAAAACAGACCACCAATTGAAATGATTGTGAGGAACAGAGGAGGCAGAGGAGGCCTCCAACAAAGATTCCAAGTCAAAAACAGGGAAAAATGGGAAGAAACTGATGAAAAAAATGCAAGCCAACAAACACGGATTTGAACATTCTCATCACAAATCCCTCGTTTATAAAGCACAATGATTGTCTTTAGATTGTCAATATGTTTCCAGCTTCTTCTACAAGTTCCTTTCTTTTTGCCATGTGAACATGAGGTCACCACGAAACAGAGAATTGAATTATTTGGGATACAGTAATCGTAAATGCACAAAAGTTTCATATAGATGAAGATTCAAATAATATTGGGATTTGACATCATTTATAAGCAACTATTTGCTTATCACCAATATTGGGCAATCCAATAGAGAGCAACATTTCCTCTCATCTTAATATATATAGTACTGCTACTCTTCCTATGAAGGCTGCATTCCATCCTAAATTTCATAGAACTGTAAAACTTCAGCCTTTTCTATAAATGGTACTCACCAACTCTCTCCCCAAGCACTTATATTGGGTTCTTCCATAAATTGATTCTCAAGCTACAGGATCATTTTTCTTTCTTTCACTTAACCTCAAAAGGTAACACATACTGATATGGCACTTCTCTATTAGCTGTCTGTGTTCCTTAACCATCAATTTCACAAAAAAAACATAACCAGTATTTACAACTCTAACAAGTAGGAAGAGGTTAATATCACGAAGTATCAGCAAACGTTGGATCCAAAAGTTTAATTTTGCAGATATGGACTCAAGAACAACATTAATCTTTAAAACGTCTCCTGCCAAATTTGTTGGTTATGATTGTTGTCACTTGTTATATCACTAGCAGTCAGGTTGTCCTTATGTAGTCACAAATCAGCTTGTACCAAATGCTGAAAATTTCATTTAAATGAATAAAGAATTAATGGTGCTCTCCCATAATTGAAGCACCATAGTACAAGACAGAAGTTCAAAGGGCTTGTTCACTATATCGAAACTTCAACTCTAAAACTAACAAGTAACAAGTAGGGAGCTCAACTTATTTACCATTCCTAACTTAGTTCAGCTTTGGCGTGAAAGAATTCTTTATGAAATTTCCTACCCTTTTCACATTGGAACCAATCAAGAAATATCAAAAAGTTTCTTCTGGTTCGGACCAGTAAATTTTTTTTGACAGAGCAGACAACAGACAACCACAGGAACTCAGAGTTCAGTTTTTTTTCTTTTTTTAACAAAGGAAAATGTGGATCCTGCACTATGTGGGTTAGTAATCATTTCCTTTGTGATATACTTTCTGGGAACGTATTTAGATCTAAAAACCTCTTTTGTGAAAATGTGTTTGTACGTGAAAATTTTGAGATTTATTTCCAATCATTAATCCCTTTATCTCTAACCATTTTAATAAGTTAAAGAAAAAAAAAAAGGAAAATGTGGGCACATGGCAAAAATAAAAATAAAAAAATAAAAAGATTATGTTCATCCACTGAGAGTCGTTGATTTGCTCCCTACAGATCCTAGGTCTTTAGGAAGCTGCTACGGTCCAAAAAGAGCCCAATTTAAATATAAAAAAAAATTGTTCATTTACCAAGAATTGTTTAACCTCCTCCCTACATATACTAGGTAATTGGGGAGCTGTTAAGGTCCAAAAGGAAATCAGCTTAAATGTAAAATCGCAAAAAAAATCTCAAAAGTGTGAAATGTCTAAGTCTCTTATCACAATGTAACATCAAATTAATATTTCCCTAGGAAAATATCTGCATAGCTAACAAAAAAATCAACCATGCATGCAAAGGTGTGAATTACTTTGACGAATTGATAAAATGGGTGTGTGAGGGGAGGCGATTGATTTACCTCCAAACACTGTTCTTCGACTTGATATAAAGGAAAGTTAAATCCATGTTTGTCATGATGCTTTTGGAAAGAGAACCTCGACCAGCAATCCTCAGTCGTACACGTGCCTCCACCGTCGAAACAGCGGGCGCTGCTGGCCATTCTGCGCCCGCCTCCAAAAAACCACCATTACTGGAGTTCGGAATTTTGGTGGTTTTCAGCTTCTGGGTAGGACCGGAGAGGCGCAGATGGACCCCGGCTTCGCCAGGCCTGTTGCACGTCGACATGTTCTGAGCAAAGGACTTCCTTCTTTTGGCTTACTTTCGGCTCTCCTTTTTCATGTCTGAATTCTGATGCGTTGGGTGTGGCACCCACTTCGCTTGCCTTGATCCAACAGGGCTGTGGTTATTATTATTAGCGCATATGCCTACAATGGCTACCATATTTTTTATTTGGTTTAAAGCCAATAAAAATCCTTCAACTTATCAAAATTGTTCATTTTCATCCCTATACTTCAAAAGAAGTCATTAAAATCCCTACACTTTATAAAAGAGACCAACCACGTTTCCTCCGTCAACTGCAGTTAACAACAATTTTTACTTGTAGCAATGATGGTGTTAACTATTAACTTTACGTGGTATTATAGAAATATTTTTTTTATATTATTTTTAAATATTATTAAATAAATTAATATATTTAATATTATGAATCTATATTTAATATCATGAATGTCACATGAATTTTAAAAATTAATTAGTTAAATGACATATCAAATTATATAAAAAAATAAAAAAATAACTATATAAAAATTATTTTTCATTAACTTCTATGCTGACGTGGCTTTGATAAGGTATTTAGATCATTAATTTCAAAGAAAAAAGTATAAATTTACCCCATGTCAACTAAACATCAAATCTCTCTCTTTTCTTTTCATTTTTTTTTAATAATAAACTTATAAGTAATTTCTCTCTCCATTTTTTTCACCGTTAAACGTCTTAAATAAATAACTTGAAAAATTATAAATGAGAAGATATAAAATCAGTTAGAGATGGAAGATATTTTAGTAAGATAACCGAAGATAGTAGCACACAGCAGGGAGGAGATTGGGAAAGACAAAGAGAGAGTTCTTTCGTTTTTATTATTTCATTAGAGAAAAGTATTTTATGAAGAATATCTTTAAAAAAGTTATATTTTAATTAAATTTTTTATTTGTATAAATTAAATATGTTAAAATTTAAATTAATCTAATAAGTATAATTAGTTTATAACATTGTTAAATATATATCTACATATAAAATTTATTTAATTAAATGATTATAAATATGAAATTATTTTAAAAATTAACATATATTATTTACATAAATAAAATATTTAATCCTATATTTAATTTTTAAAAACATTAATTATAATATAAAATTTAAAATAGATCCTTAAAAATAATTTAGGAAGGGGACACTATTCTAACATCTATTTCATTATGTTTGTCCTTAATTTCTTAGTTTTTTTTTTAATAGTTGTAGGCACATTATCGAGTCTATCGGTGACTTTGTATTTCTCTTAAATGTCGTTGACGGAGGGACGGTGGTTGGCCTCTTTTACGAAGTTCAGGGATTTTAATTACTTCTTCTGAAGAATAGGGGTGACAATGAACCAATTTGACGAGTTGAAGGACTTTTATAGGCTTTAAAGTTTAAACCTTTGTACTTTTTATTTTTTAAGTAGTAGAAATTATATTAAAATAAATAAATTTGATATAAGGTGTGAATCTTTATAACATGTGATGAGATATATAACTAAAGTAGTAGTATATTTAATGCTGTTATGCATAGACTAACTTATAACAAATATGGATAATTAAATATAAAAAGTTAGCTATATTTAAAGAATCTATTAACAATTATCATATGGCTATAAACAAAACTACCATCACTAAAAGGAAGTTCTTGAGAATATTTTGAGTTACCAAACATTTTTTACTATTATATCAACTTTTTAATAAAAAAGAAATATTTAGGCTAATAAGAGTTCCCAATAGCGCTACTCCATCAAGCCGCAATGACTATATGCTTTAGGATCTTGTCACAAGAGAAGCACTAAAAAAACAAGAAAAGGGAATAGGTAGGCGTCACAAAAGAAGAGAAGATTTAAAGGGAGGGGCTTGTCACATGGCTAGTTTTGTTCTTGCCGTGTACAAGAAAATGTACAAGACAGAGGAGGAAGGGGGCTAGCTTTCTCACACTAGGGTTAGGGTTTTTCTTTTTAAAAACATTAATATAATATTTTATTAGTTTATAATTTTTTAAATATTTAATTATGATATTTTTAAAATATTTATTTATAAATTAATTTTAATTTGTTAAATAATTAAATAATAATTATATTATTAATTATTAATTATTTTTAATAACTAAATTAAAATAAAAATTTCATAATCTAGGTAATTTTAACCATTTATGTGTGAACAAATCAAGGCCAATAAACACCAATGTCCTAGTCACCTCATAATGTCACTAAAATTTAAAATTTCCTTTCGTTTACAGAACTTTTGTTCTTTTCGATTAAGTCACAAAATTCAATTTAAGGACGATTTGTTTTAGATGTTATGGAGGACCTATCAGCCTCTAATCAGACAAATTAGAATGTGAATTATATACAATTACAACTATTAATTTTTTAATAGTAAAAATAATACTTTATTGAAGCAGAGTATAAAAAATACTTAAAACCGTTTTATTTTTTAATTACAACTATTAATTATCAAATATGGAATATCAACTATCATCTTTAACCATTTTCTTAATGCCTATTCTATATATTTTATAATTCTCTGCTAATGTCATTCATTTTACACCTTTCTTATCCGTCCTTCCTTCCTTGATACCACCTTTACGGTATGGTATAACTCCTTCACTTATGCATTGCCCAAGTTTTTATCCCCATTACTAAATTTTCTTTCCCTCCATGATCTCTTTCTCTCTTTCTCTCATATTTGCAAACTAAAGGAAATTTGAAGAGGTTCCAGACTAGTTTTCAATGCAGAAAAAGCGAAAACTAACGAGAAGGAAAAATAAACCATACAATATGGGAATATAATATGGATTTTTAATTTTATCACATCTATCATATAGCTATTATATTAGACATTATAGCATTTTTAATGTTAGAATATCCTAATTTTCTTTTTTCTTTTTTCTTTTTTTATAACTAACAAGTCCATTATATATAACATTCAGCAAAATTCATTGGTGATTGGATGCTGCAATACAAAATGATGAAGTTTTTGAAGGAGAATCATGATTGACTTCCAAATTCATGTGACGCCTAATCTAATAGTAATTTGAGAGGCTTGGGTTTTAAAATATTTTTCTTTTCCAAACTTGTTCGATTTCTGGTTTCTTATAGAATGAGAGGAAGAAGAGCAAATGGACATTGGAAGAAAATCGGCAACATAGGAGCCAAAGTTCTTTTTCTCTTTTCTTTTTATTTAAGTTTAGAATTTTTTTTCTACATTTTTAATTGATATATTGCCACCAAGGGATATTAATTTAAGATTAATTTCCTTTTTCTTAATCTTCATGTTCATTTTTCAACGAAAAGCAAAGTTTTTTTTTTTGCACAGCAAAATTAATTCATTAGATAGAGTACAAGGGGTACTTCTGCCCATAATACAAAATTAGGTAAGGTATTGAGCATCTACTGACTTTGCCTAAATTCTAACTAGAGTCAATTATTTGCTCAATATAACCTAAAAGTAAACATTTTGGGATTCTAACAATTCCTTCTTAACATTACGACTAATCCATCCACGCATTGGACAAGACTCTACTTCCTACCACAGTTAACTTTAAAACATGTCATAGGATCATATAACCAATCAGAAAGATTAAACAAGCATCTAGATTTCCTTGTTTTAATCCACAAAAAAGATTTCAGTTGAATGTGATCGAACAGCTTACTTATATTGACGTCAGAATCTTGGAATATCTTCTGGTTTCTTGTGAGCCATACGGACCACACCACAACATTCCAGATACAATCCCAGCCTTCCTTTACACGTGCTTCCTTGGCCCATACCCCAAACTGCTCATAAGATTTCCAGCAATCAATTTCCAAATTAACTGAAATCCCCCACCATTTCCCACAAGCCTTCCATAGCCACTTTGCTACCCTGCACTTCAAGAAGAGGTGATTAGAGTCCTCGACCTCCCCCTCACATAGAACACATTTACCATCACCCGATCCACTTATAATCCCTCTTCTCTGCAGGTTGCTCTTTGTTGGTATTCTATCCTGCAGTAGTTGCCAATTAAAAGTAGAAATTTTGCTTGGGATGATAGGGTTCCAAACTCTCTTGTATATTGAAGTTGTCTCCAGTCCATTTTGTTCATTTGTTAGTAGTCTATAGGCTGTTTTTGTTGAGTAGTTGCCTTCCTTGCTATGCTCCCACTTCCATGTGTCGGGGATGTCCATGTGTATCCGCTTGCCTTCAATCTTTCTTTACAGTTCCTCAGCTTCTTCTCTTTCCCAATTAAGTAAGTCTCTCCTCTAGCTAAAGTACCACTTCCATGTTCCATTTTCCTCTTTACCCATTTGATAACATTCTTTCTCCTTTCCTGTTGACAAAGAATACAATCTCGGAAAAAGATTAGCAAGGCATCCCTCCCCACCCCAATTGTCCCACCAAAAGCTCACTCCCTTTCCTTCTCCTAGTTTTAACTTAAACCCTTCTGTTAACCACCCTTCATTTTCCTCATCCACATTGTTTAGGCAGCATACATCCCTCCACCATAGTGATCCTATTCCCCTTCCCTCCCTTACCCAATCAAGCCAATGGCCTCCACTCCTGCCATACTTACTAGCTATAACCTTATCCCACAAGCCCTGTTCTTTTCTTGCTAGCCGTCCCCACCATTTCCCCATTAAGGCAAAATTGAACTTCCTCAACCCTCTAACTCCTAATCCCCCATAATGTTTATTCTTACAAACCTTTTCCCATTTGACCCAATTAATTTTCCTACCCTCTCCCTCCCCACCCCATAAAAAGCTTTTGCGAATTTTATCAATGAAATGAATAACACCTTTAGGAAGTAGGTAGAATGACATTAGAAACACGGGCAAGCTAGACAACACGGAATTAATGAGTGTAATGCGTCCCCCAAAGGATAGATGATGGCCTTTCCATGGAGCTAATTTCTTTTTCACAAATTCCATAAGTGGTCTCCACATTGCTATTCTTCTGTGACTCCCCCCAATGGGGATCCCCAGGTATTTAACCGGAAGATCTTTCCCTTTACAGTATAGCCTGTATGTCATTTTTTCTTTCCAACCTTCTTCCACATTAACACCCACAAGCTGACTCTTTGTATAGTTGATTTTCAATCCTGAAACCAACTCAAAAGATCTCACTATACATTTGATAGCCCAAATGTTTTCTTTAGTTGCCTCTCCGAAAAAGATAGTGTCGTCTGCAAACTAAAGGTGTGAAACCATAAGGTCTCCATTGCCCACCTTTACACCCTTATACATCTTCTTTTCAATTGCTGCCATCACCAACCCATTCAACCCCTTAGCTACAATGAGGAAGAGAAATGGGGATAATGGGTCTCCCTAACATATTCCTTTTGTGACCGTGAATTGTCTCGTTGGGCTTCCGTTAACAATGACTGATACCGAGCTCGATCGGAGACATTCCCGTATCCATCATCTCCAAATTCTACAAAATCCCATTCTTGTCATCATATAATTAATAAATCCCCAGCATACCTTATCGTATGCTTTCTCAAAATCAACGAAAAGCAAAGTTACTCGCATGATATATCTTATATAATATTATACACAATTTGATGTAAAGTTGATTTGATTTCTATAAATAAATTTATTATTATATATACATTTATTCATCTAATGTCATATCATATTACTATATAATCTACAATATGATAATGCATTGAACTTTTAGATCCCTTGAATTGGATAAAGCTTTGATTTTCTTTTCTACTCCGACAAATTTAATAGTTCAAATATAAAGTTAAGATAATTACCATGTGTAAAACATGTCAACATTATTTAACGGAACCTTGGACATATTGTTAAATGGCTAACGCACGGATGGAAAAGTTATAAGCATTCAGACGAGTCAGGTCAAGTGGAAGTGCCCCCAAGTTACACCGTTTAGAATTGTAGTTCAAATTTCAAAAATTTTAACATCTTAAAAAAGAATAATGATTGTTAGGACAAATACATGATAATCATTAATTATGATGTGAGTTCATATATAGATTTATATAATCACTTATAAAAATAATTTAATATAAAAATTTGGTCATAAAATTTAGTCTAAAAAATTATTATTTGTTAAAAAAATTAAACTAAATTAAATGACTAAATTTACGAACTTAAAACTTAAGTGACTAAAAATGAAAGTTGTTACAAAAGTTCAGTGACTAACAAAGGTTACTCAAAATTTTATTAATTTTTATTGGTAGTCCAATTGTTACTTCACCCTCAACAAACTCAAAATGTTATTATAAAAAGAGAAGGATAGTTTAGGTGCATTCATACGTCTCCTAATCCTAACATCCTAATCATTTGATAACTTACGCATAAAATTTGAGATTACTCAACTTGTGAAGTTGTTCAATTCTAAGCAGGTTAAATCCCTATTTTGGCCCTTTCACTTTGGTAAAAAGTTTCTTTTTAATTCTTCTACTTAAAAAAACTCTTTTTTGGTCTTTAAAATTTGAAATCCGATCTCTTTTTGGTCCCTCTATTAAGTTTTACATATGTGATGTTAGATGACCAAATTTCAAAGTAGATGGACTAAAAAGGAGCTAAAAAAACCATTTTTTATCTTTTTACTTTGACAAAAAAAAAACCTCTTTTTGGTCTTTCTACTTAGCAAAAAGCTGTTTTTTGATCCTTTGCTTTGGCAAAAAACCTATTTTTGACAAAAAAAAGTGCCCCTTTTTTACAAAAAAAACCCCTTTTTGATCACTTGACTTAAAAACAAAAGCCTTTTTTAGTCTTTTATTTTGGGAGTTCCATTAAGATAGCGAGCTATAGGATAGATACTTAACGGAAGGATTAAAAAAGAGTCAGATTTCAAATTTTAAGGATTAAAAAAAAGTTTTTTTTTTAAGTAAATAGACTAAAAAAAACTTTTTACCAAAATAGGAAGATCAAATTGAAGTTTTAACCATTCTTCACATAATATTGTACCATTCTTCCCATCCCTCTCTCCCTCATCAGTGCACCAGTCGTGTAAGGTGAAGACATATCCAGAAGCATTCCCCCTTAACCAATTGGAAATTTAGTGAGGATAAGTGATGACAAGGGATTGGGACATCTCAATGTATTCTTGCAATAACCTGAATTGCCTCAAAAACATTCTCCATAGATGCCTCAAAATTGTTGAAAATGAAATAGAATATTCGATGACAAAAGGTTTGGGGCATTGTACATTTCATGTCTCGAGACTTGAGCTTAGTGACTTTGTAATTTGTTACTGTTCCGACAGAGACGTGAGCCAAATGCATTTTTGTATCAAATTTTGAAAATTCTCTCTATTTTTCTTGTGTCATGGGAAGTAAGGAATAAAACCTATAATACTACAAAATATAATTAATATTTTATAATATGTTATTCAATAAATATATATTTATTAATTCATGTATTATGAAACTTTGAATAATACATATTGTTATATTATGCAAACTATTTGTATACAATTGTACAAACAAACAATATAACGTCTATCATTTCCCAATAAAAGGAGAGCATGGAGACTCTCTTTGGATATATAAGGTCAAAAAACAGGATCCTTGGATAAGATTCACTAATTACCCATAATTCATCATGATTATGACTTTTGATAATGATGTTATGCTTTGAACCTTAAACAAGACTCCAAAACCGCATATAGGCCTAGAGAGAGACAAGCCTAGAGAGAGCAGAGAACATTTCATGTCCATCCTAGATCAATTTACAGCCAGGCAGCTGACTATTCTTGAAGTTGACATTGCAACAAATTAGAACATCATTTTCCCTTCATTTTTTTAGGTAAAAAATTTACCTTAAAAAAAAAAAAAGAGACATAGAACCCATTCTTGTTTGGTCCAATTGAGTAATTTTTTGGGCCAAAATTGTTTGATCCAATATTGAGAAATTTTCAAGCCGTATGATACTATGGTAGCCATTTTGAGAAACATTGTGAATAGGGTACAAATATGCTGTGAATATACTGCCTTTTAAGATTTTCATTTTTTAAAAAGAAATTTGTGATGTACGATTAATCTATTGAAGTCATGCTTAACCATTTATCAAAACAATGCATGATATTGTATATAAGGATTTGATTACAGGTTACATAAATCAATATTGTGGGCAATATGTGAATCTGCAGTGACATTGATTTTTCCATTTACAAAAACAGTGTAGGTCCTATGTGAATTTATAGAGAAAATTATTAAGGGATAATTTTCATCATAAATTTTTTTATATAATATTATATGTTATTTAATAAAAAATTCATTTTATTTTATTAAAACATATAATATTATATGTATATATTTATTTATTTATATGTAAAAATTATATAAAAAA